GCTTGATACTAATTAAAAGAGACGAATGTAAGTTTGTGACAATAAATATATTCAGTACTACAAAAACGAATATGTATAACCATAATATAACCATATAATAATCGGTTAATCGAATCTACAATCTCTTGTCTGCAATGCTATTAAATTTACATTAAAAATTAAAAGTGACCCGATAGAACTTTGTCCAATGGGAGTTTTTCCTTTCCACACCTTCGACAACCAGTTTAATCAACAATCATAAACGTTAACGGTTTCTCAATTTAGTCTACCGATAATGCGTGAGTTTAACTCGTATATTTATAGTTCCAGTGTTTCGTAAGTGGGCAGCGTGCGCACGCGTAACTTGTATGCCTTCGTACTATGTTTTAATTAGCCTGACGGGTTACCCTTCCAATAAGTAGGTTTATTTCACCTATTAGGTGTCTGGTAAATAATAAAATTAATAAACATGCTTTAACTTTGTAGCAGTTTTATTTTGAAACTAGCGGCCGCCCGCGACTTCGTACGTGTGGATCCCGTTTTACCCCCTTAGGGGTGGAGTTTCGTAAAATCCTTTCTTAGCGGATGCCTACGTCATAACATCTACCTGCATGCCAAATTTCAGCCCGATCCGTCCAGTGGTTTGGGCTGTGCGCTAAATCTAGCTATAGATCACTATGTCAGTCAGTCAGTCAGTCACCTTTGAGTTATATATAACAAGTACGTAAGTGAAAAGGATTAGTCATCAATTACCGAACCCGTACATACGTAATCTACCTACGTAGTTCACCGTTGCATATAAACCAAATGTATACAGTAAACACAATCACATTCACAAACATAAGTCCAGTAATGAAGGTAAGGGCGGTGGTCACGATTATGTGTAGGAATGAAATTGGTATCGGTATTTTAATTAGGATTAGGGATAATTGGGTCGTTCTACTGCATGTGTAAGTATGTCTAAACAACGCAATGTGTATTTATAAACAACGCAAGCTAGAATTGCTGGTTCAAAACCAGCCGTCAGGATTTGTTAGTGTGGCCAGCTACTTATGTTTCTACACAGTTCTGGGTTCATAAATGTCTGTTTATACGTAGTCGCCAGACTTGAAGATTTACTTAGCTTGAGTTTGTGTATCAAACACGAGACAATTTAATATAGTACCTATTTACGTACTCTAATAGCATACCCAAATCGTGGATGGAAAAATGAGATGAAAAATAAATTGTACTTTGATTGTCTTATTACAACGTCATTGACCAACAAACTCCGGGTAATTTAATGCAGCACTGATTGTATAACATATCATCACTGTTACAGAACACTGTGCAATACATCGCATCGTAGAGTGAGAGATGTTGCCAAAAACCACGTGATGCTGCTGTGAAAGGAAAGGAATACATAACAGAGAAAGCTCCCATTCAGGAGAATGTACTGGCGAATCTTCAAATATCAGATTTATAGTGTTTATAGAACACATTTATAAACATTTTAATTGCTATAATGGCTGTCGGTCAGTGTAAACTCGCTGACTCATTCACATATTCAATTTATTTCTCTACATTCTAAAGAAGTGGGTATTAGATGTTTACGCACCTAGCAACTTAAGCAATTTACCAAACATTTTTCAAGCTTTGTCAAAATATGTGTGGACCTGAAAGATGTACCAAGAATGAAACATTGCCCCGATCTCAATCAAACAAAAGCTACATTGTGTACAAGTCCATCACCACTTCTCCTCTTTACCTTATTTTACGATATTGAAATTACGAATAACTCAAACGCAACCCTGTTAAAATTTTATTAAAACGATTCGTCATCCTAAAACTTGATAACAGAATTAGTTATAGATAGAGTAATTCCATTACATGCTATTTGAACAACGGATGGCCGCTACGCTCGTTCGTGTCGCAAGTGACACAGAAAACTGCTTACCGATTTATTTGGCGTAACTGTGCTCTGAGGATGTAACTTGAATAAAAACTATAAAAAAGAGACAGTTGCATTTAATTTCGTGTTGCGAAAACTAGAGTTGCATGCTGAATTCTCATGGATGAGCTTTTTGCCCCTGTAGACGGCGATCGGCACTTGTTTCTTTTTCCAATAGCAGGCTAACCGACCCAACCAAGTGGAACCACGTCTGCTCTGGTAGCATTGTGAAATAATTTACATCAATTCGACTGATTTGATACAATTTCACGGTTAGACGGGGATATAATCTAAATTAGTAGAGAGAGTATAATTGAATTTACATTTGATTTGCACACATTTCACCAAATTGTTACCTATTCATATTCATAGGATCATTATAGATAACACTGGAGACTAGGTCATTTTCATACGAATGATCTCATCTCTCACCAATAATAATTTGAGTTAAAAATTTTATGAATAAAAACGATTGGAATTTCTTTAAAATTGTAAAGTAGTAACAAGAAAAGACCCTAAGTATACATTTTCTTTATGAACCTTTCAACTGTGATACTAAGTATGTATTCGTGCAATATGCAATTTGCAGTTGATTAAGCTGTCATAATTTCGTGAACCTGATTGCAGGCCCGTGTCTCAAACGCATTGCAGGGCTTTGACGGAATAGACACGATGTCGTTAAATAATATCGTAGGAGTTATATAAACATACAATTACCTTAAATTGCCGCTCACGATATAGGTGTTTGTCCTGTTTCATATAAGTCTACGAAATACTTTTTAAAACGGCATTAGCTGGATTTTAATGAAACTGAAATGCCTTACTTCATTAAGGAAAATCGCTCTATTAAAATAATTAAATACGGTTAAATATTTATCTACTTTAATACTAGCACCTTATTACATGCAGTAATGATATTTAAAAGGGAATTAAATACGATGGCGGAATATATTATTAAAACGACCAATTTAGCCAGCAATTTATTTCTAGGCATTTAAATGGTAGGTATTTGCAGAAACTTGAACTCAGGTCATTTAATTCAATATGTTAATGGTTTTAGTTTTGTTATTAACATATTGTACGAGTAATATGACGATTGCCTTGTCCTGTGAAGTACCTACCTATTAATGTTGGTGAACGGAAATTTAACACACCCACCTGGAAAAAGATGTATTTAATTTCGTTTGCTCTTGTCCCATAAAAAAATGGATCACCGTTTGCTTACTCTAAAGAGCAAAAATCAACCTACTTGGAAATTTTTTTTGTTAAAATATCTTCTCCTAGAACAAGCTTTGGACTACATTAATGTTTATACTATTCGCAAATGCGATGTATTAGTTGACGCTATTTCCCGGCAGACTTCGTCTCAGTGCGTTCTCTGTTACAACGTCAGATTCCATTCTAATCCAACAGCATTTCTTCCCTTATACGAGAACTTTGTAACCACTGAACCGCTCGCAGCACCTTATACACGCACGGACGTGTCACGTTGAATAACTCATACCTAACACGAGTAGGGTTGCCAGATCCAAAAAACACAAAAGCCGAACTTGGCGCGTAATTCGGCCGGTCATTTTGCCCTGAAAGCCGGACATTCATACGCGAAAATAATATGTATGTTCTAGCAAATTATTTGTGTTCTTTTTGGTGCGTAATGCTTAGAGCAATTGCTGAATTTCCTTATGGGTTAATCCTACATTAGGTACCTATGTTAACCAGTGTCTACTGCGTCCGTTAATCAAAAGTTAGCGGATAAGGCCCTGCAGCCACATAAAAGGTCTAACAAAAGCCGAACAAGAGAATATTTGGCCGGACACGTCCCTAAAAAGCCAAACATGTTCGGCTAAAGCCGGAGACCTGTACCTCTAGTAGGAAAAACTTTCGAGTTCGTTTCGTTGCGTATTCAAAGTGTCATCGAAAAATTTTGTATGAAAAATTAAACAGCGCCCCCTATATTATAGCCGCCCTAGGGGGCGCTGTTTAATTTTTCATACAAAATTTTTCGATGACACTTTGAATACGCAACGAAACGAACTCGAAAGTTTTTCGTACTAGAGGTACTGGTAACCCTAAACACGAGTGATGATAAAAATACCGCGCAAACTTGCGAAGCACGAATTCTTTAATTAGAACCCGTCGATGCCTTGTTAAATATTATAGTTACCATAAAATGTATTACTGTAGAACGTAGGAATCTCACGGCCACGTTTTGACCTCAAGGGTCGCGTCATGACATTGCATCGAAGTAAACGATGCAATTTGAAATGAAACACTTTATTTTGACATAAAGCGCTACAACTGAGAATTCTAATTTGGTTCGCTCACGTATTACGTATTCTTATCCATAAGCTGGCTAAAATATGTCGTTTGGTGTATTTGTTGTTGTACTTATTGCCTGCTTCAAAATGAACTCAATACTTCTCCCGTCCATTGCATATTCAATGTCTTAAGACACCACCTTGTCATTTTCATATATTTTATGCAACATGCTTATTTGATAACCCATTAGCCCTGTACCTTTCCAAAGAGTAAATGATTGTTGAACAAATTCTACAACTATTTTTTTTTGCAATATTGTCCTACTAGTTTTAAGAGTTCATATTTCACAAACTATTCCACCATTCATTTTAAGAAGGCACTCCCCATAGGGTCTATCAGTCAATTTACATAGGTACTCTTACAATAAAAAAAACCTAAAAGCGCTCTTTTATAGCATTTTGCATTACTTTCGTGACTTTTTAAGAGCTATAAAATGTGATTTCTAGATTTCATATGGAAAATAATAAAAGCTATGACGTCACTTTTCACCAAATTTTAAGTAAATATTTATGTAAAAGCTACTAAAATCTCATGACTAGATTTTTGGATTATCAAGAGGTGTGTCTTGGAATTATTGGATCATTATCCATTGTATCAACAGCCTATTTCCACCCTGCCCTCTGTCACCACAGTGGCGTTTAAGCAGTTCTTTCACAGACCCTCACTACCACCCCGCTGTCATCATAGCAGCCGCAAGCGTTGGTTGCGCCGCGCAGCCTTCGACTCTCCGAGTGCCGCCGATATCCGCAGTGCTATCGCAGCCGCACCACCGGCAACACGCTCACACAATAATTATTATTATTATTTATTAATAATAATTCGAACCTGAATGAACAGACTGTTTTGTGCGATTGTGACCCATGGTACAGTGATCTAGTGGGTATAAACTTCCAGTGGAGAGTGAGGAGATAGCCTGAAATGTTTTTGAGGTATTATTTTTTTACTGTTTTATTTTATTTATTATTTAAGTATTTATTGCAGTGTGTCAATAAAATATAAATGCAAATTTTATGTGTATCATAATTATATTTTTTATATGGTGATAAATTATGAAAGAAACTTTATTTTAATAATTCACCAATGTAATAATTATTGTAATGGAATATAATAATTATGATAACAAAAAATAATAACACTCGCATACATCCCGTTGCGTTGAAGTCTTTTGTACGAACGCTACATTCGATAATGTCCGTCGTAGCTGCTACGAAACTTCGTAGACGTTCGCAAACTTTAAGTTGCTACGACATGCTAATTGTACTAAAATTAATTGTAATTTCACAGTCATTCATTTATTATAATACTTTCCTCAAGTTTGTTAACATAACGTGTTCACAAATAAAACACCGTTATAAAAATACTACTCTATTTTGAGATGCCAATATGGTAATTTGTCCTAAAATAACTCGAAGCTTATGGGCATAGACAATAAGGTCCAGTATCGTGTGTTGGCCGCCTACGCGTCCAATAGAGATGTGAGCCGCTGGCGCATATTGACGCGACGCAAACAGTATGGCTAGCACGAAAAACTTTCGAGTTCGAATCGTTCGCGTATTTGAATTGCCATTAAAATATTTAGTACGAAAACTACAACTGCGCCCATGTGAACGTGTCGTAAAGTGAACTTAGTATGAGAAATAATAACACGAAACTTATTTTGAGAATCAAAATTTTCGCGCTGTCGTTTAATTCGAAGGTTGAGTATCGAATTTTGTCGAACACGCAAACGATTCGAAAACAAAAGTTGTTCATGCTAGAGGTACAGATCGCCAAAAGTTCCGTTACGGTAACCGTGCACAGGTTGCTTCTAGTCTCTAAAGGTGTCATTGCAACTACCGTATAAAGGTGTTATTACATAATCTTGAAGCTGAAAGTCAGTCACATCTTAATTTTCAAAAACCATTGTTGTTTAAATGCTACCAAGCATTCAATTGTTATTGTAATGTATAAAACCATTGAAATATTGTCACGTTTACGTAGAAGTCAAAAGCAAACAAAATGAAGAAATTACCAACAACATTATATGTAATTTCAAATTGGCAATGTGAGTGCTTAGGATCGGACTGTAAGCTCACTTGCACACGAATTTAAAGTAAATAAATGAACAAACCTTTGAGTCATTCCAATTTGAGTATAGTTTGACACTCTGCTTCGCATAATTTATATAAAAAAATAAGTGTTACTTTGCAGTTAAAAGGTTGAATATTACTCGTATAAGTAGGAGTAATCATCAAATACCGAGTCGAGTAGAAATTGTGTCAGTAGCATGTGGTTCTGATTCACTACCGAAGGAGAGACCAAAGGTCAATACGCCTTTTGAAAGCGAGAGTGCGCGCGCGTCGCTTGACGGATGGCCGGGCAGCCTTTGTGGCTGTCTGGAATGCGCGCTACATCTGCCAATCATAAGTGGACAACTTATTTTGATCTGGAATTCAAATTGGAAACTACTACATTATCACGGCAATAGATAGTAGGTATTACCGTGACGTAATCTTTTGGAATGAAAAAAGAAAGAAAAAAAATTGATACGAATAATACTGGTCAAAATAAAATGGTACTTTTTATAATAACAAAGCAATGAAAAGATATAGTTCAGTCGTCGTTTCAGCCAAATGACGTCCACTGTAATGTTAATAAAATATTTCTTTCTTCTTTTAAGAAAATCTAAGAATTGCAAATCGGAACTTATTGTTCAATGTTCGTTATTTTTGTTGTATTTTATATGCTTTACTTGATTTAGATTAATAAATATTTCTTAAATCGCGGTTAGTGTAGATTTTACGGAAATTAATGAGCCTCGCATTATTCATTGATTAAATGAAAATTAAATAACAAAACCGTAAGTTCAATGTCCAGCTGTTCACGGGATTTCTATTAATAAGTATGACAATTTAATTTAATCGGTGGCAACGATGTTTAGTTGTCAACAGTTTCACAACTCGCGGAAAATAAGCGTAACTTTTTGCGTAAAGTTCAATGTTTACACAAAAACGCTGACTTGCATGGTTATAGACGCTGCAACGTGCTTACGTGACGCGCTCTGCAAGTGTCTTCAGACTTAATGATCAAGGCTTGCTTAGTTTTTGAGCAACAGATTTCAAGAGCAACAGAGTCAACAGCTTGAACATTCATTTTACTTTTAACTATAAATACATAAAAATATCCTTGGACATTTTACACTGTGCCTCTAGTCCCAAACTATGAACAATATACGTAGCTAGATTTTGTCCCAATTTCGATTTGTAACAAAAATACTTTATCTCCTTTCAAAAACCCATAACCTGATTAAAAACTATCTGTGATTTGTAAAAAGTATTTTCTCACGGGCTAAACCTGGATGAGGGGCTTGCCATCTCGGTGGACAAGTTTTATGCGGATCCCTCCCGCAAAGCGCATAAAGTCTGTACGAGTAGGTATAGTTCAGCTTTCAAAAAACAAAAGGTCTGCTCGTAATCGTATAAAATAAATGTAACTCATTACTTTAACATTGTAACAAAGATACATCGAAGAAAATAAGTTTTTGAAACCCTCTCGTAGCTAGGGTTGCCAGGCGTCCGGATAAAGCCGGACATAGTTAGGCTTTTTGATTGCGTGTCCGGTCAAAATAACCGATGTCCGGCCTGTCCGGCTTTTGTTAGGCTTTTTATTTAGCTGCCGCGCTAGGCGAAAGTCGAGCCACAGAATAAGGCACGCACGCATCAGGAAGTTAGGCAACCGATATAGCACTCACTAATTGCACCCCCNTTAGGGTATCCAAAATGTCCGGCCAAATGAACCTGGACCTGGCAACCCTACTAGCTATGAAACAAACCATACATTGATTTAAACCTAAACTTAGTATTTTCTGGTATCAGTCTATTCCATCTGCATCTGCTAGCCAGTCAGATTTCCCGCGATATATTTCGTTCCGTCACTTAGCTTTTGATCGAAGCCATTTACTTTATTAGGTGAGTAATTTAGATGTCAATCTAAATATATGTAATGGTGATGGAATGCTTTACGAACTTGTTTGATCGTATTAATAAACGTTTAAAATTGCGCTTTTGGACACGAAATTAAGGCTGTTTATAGTTTGACTAATAAACTTTAAGTTTCTGTTGATTAATTTAAGTTATACTCGTATTTAGATCAGATATATCCGATACGCATACTATCTTAGGCTGGTTTTAGTGTCACGCGGATCGTCCGGTGCACGGCCAATCTGTATGAACTTCTAGGGAGCGTTTTGGAGTAATGCGGTCCGGAGGAACCGCTCGCTCCCTAGCAGTTCATACAGAGCCCCGATTACGGTAACTTTTAACGTCTACAATCCAGACGCGTTTCTGATTCTGCGATACGATTGGTCAAAACAGCTGACGTACGCTGTTGAACGACCAATCGTATCGCAGAATCGAGAAGCGTGTCTGGATTGTTGACGTTAAAAATTACCGTAATCGGGGCTCAGATCGGCTGTGCGGAGCGATCCGCACTGACAGTCCGCGTGATACTAAAACCAGCCTTAAGCTGAGTTGCACCACCTAACTTTATCCGTAACTATAACGATAACCGGTGTTTTTGTATGGAGTTTAACAGATTTTTGACGTAAAGTTAAAGTAAGATTGTACAACCCAGCCGTAGTATTCAGTATTAACATCTACGTGTTTATGGTTACGTTTTATCTCTTAAAAAGTAAACCACAGTCATCGTAACATCGCCATAAAACCTTTGATACACTAGTATAGCCACTGGACCGTTTTTATTACTTGAAAGTGCCCTTGTTGAACTTTAGCAGTGAGTCGGACAGGTGATGACGTAATGCGCGGGCGCATCCCGCTCTCTTACGTAATAGAACGATAAAAATAGTAAACGCCTTGTACTTACTTGTACAGTCTGCTAAAAAATGAGCTACTTGTAAATAAGATAACATCAGAAACTCTTTTGTAGCGCTACATCTGACACTGACAAGCAATTCTTTCGCTTTCTTTTGTTTCTTATCGCAGCTTAATAATGTAGCGTAGTTAGAGTAAGCGCAGACCATTGATTTTTATCGACCGATAGTTTAGTCGGGCAGTTGATCAATATGGGCATGTATGAAAGTGCGCACATTACACCATTTGATTTGGCCGATTCTTCATACAAATTAAAATCGGGCCCAACTGTCGGCCAACTAAAAATCGGTGGTCTGCGCCCAGTCGGCTGAGTTGCACTATATTTTAACCGTGAATTTAACCATAACCGTTGATAGACTTTTGACGTTTGTTCAAGTTAAAATTAGTTGGTGCGACCCAGCTTTAGTCTAGTAGTCGGTCTTGTTTTTTATCAAGATCGTTACACACTTTTTTTATAAGATTTTAAACTTTCGCGTTCCATTTCAACTAAAATAGTAAGACACGGACACTTTTTTTATCTTGAACTGTACTGAGACCTGAGACACTCACTCAAGCACGTGACCCTTGATGCGAATGATGAGATACATTGGCACGGGCATAACATTATGTAACATGACATAATGACCGTTGCAAAAGAAATTGTTCGAATCACTCAGCTTATTGAGATACTATCATCCAAGTTATTCAGTCAGTAGTGATTTGAAGTTCCAATATGTCATTCTTCAGCTAATTATTTTGTGACCCTTGATCTTTTAGGAGTTGTTATGTCCAGTCAAGAGTAAAATATTTTTGCAAATAGCTCTCTGCGGACGGTAGGTCTCATAGTCATATTTGTCTGTAACCCTAGACTATCTCCCATTAACGGCTCCGCCACTAATAAATTTCCAGTCACTCTGTATAAGATGCCGCAGTATTTACTTTGACGTGCCTTCTTGAACTTTAAATAAGCCTTAGTAAACATATTCAATTCAATTCATAATAATATTTGATGATGGATAATTAATTGCTGTATGTTACAAAACATAAGCACAGTTTATTTTTGGCATTAAACTGTAGCTAAACAATTTGACTCACTCCGTGGCCACCCAGTTGCGCTATCAACTATCGTAACATCGAAGATGCTGGCTCTACCGGCGCAATGTCCATTACCTAACTGCACATTATAAAAACAAAACTGAAGGCCTAGCCAGTTGTTGTTTATTTTCCACATTTTAGTATAACGCGCATAAAACCTTTTGCGGATCTGAAGGTTACATTTCGCAAATCGCAATTAAGTAATTGATAATTATTGTTGCTAAACTTTTAATGTACGTATTTTCACACAAAACATTCAAGTAAATTACCGTATATTGATATAGGTAGGTAAACCAACACTTGCACGAAAAGTTTGAACTTGTTTTTGGAATGGTAGGTCATAAACTGTTTATTTATTGACGCTGTCTTAATAATATGTTATCAAAACACCGTCCGATCATTCCAAGGCACTCAATAGTCGTGCACATAAACACCCAAAACTGGGACAAGATCTTACGTAATTAGCAAATCTGAACCGAAAGTTATCTAGCACTAGCAATAAATTCGGCTGTAACGAGGGTGACGATTAGTCGCAAGTAGTGAAAGGACGATTCAAAATGCTTGTTAGCACACTGATGCAGATAATCGAGTGTCGAGATCGCACGGACCATCGATCTAACGTTAACAGTGGGACTGTCTCTAACGTAATAATATCAACCAAGTAACAACCTACCAAACAAAAGTTGAAGACCGTCTACGAACAAAAATCCTTAGTTAATGGGGAGACGGGTTCGTGCTTCAAGAAAACCATAAAAATCATAGTAAATATTATACTGCATCTCACTTAACGTCAGGTGTGATTGCGGTCAAATACTTGCCTTGTGCTGCATTAAAATAATATCGCAAACTCTCACTAGACGACATTACCTACAATACTGGTTATTTGTACTAGGAGCGATATCTTTAAAGGATTAAAAAATGGTGTAGGTATTAAGACCTGGTCTAGGGCCTCGGTTTCAGGACGTCGTCAGGTGCAAACGGGTGAAAGGAGAGCGATGACATTTGTTGCCAGCGAGCGAGGCCATCCACTGCTCCCGGCTGACACTGATGACAGTGGTTTTTGGCCGAACAATGTTCGCACCTTTCGTGGTCAACTACAATCGATGTTCGCTCCCACATCGTGTTCTTGACTAGTTCGCAGACTAGAGAATTAGGTGTCCTAATATTTAATTTTAATATCAAAGTTCAAATACGCCTTTATGCAAAACCAATATGAAGATATTGTTGTGACTAATGCTTCTATACAAAAAAGATGATATTAAAGTTAAGCAATTAATGACTAGAAGAAATAAAACTCACAAAATATTACGCATAATTAACATCTTCGGATGTGATTATAATTTTACGCCTCTTAATTAAATATACATTTTGTAAAGCGTAAAATTGCTATTAAATTTGGAGGCATTTAAAACTATTTCGGAATAGGTATGTTACAATCTTATTAGGTGTTAAAAGCTCTTAATAACAGAAAAAGCGTAGTTATAAATTAATGTTTCGTCAGCTGATAATGGAAGAGATCGTTATTAATTTTATTTCCCCATCCTCTAACAAGATTAATGAATACATAATCTCAGGTATTATAAATTGAACATGCGTCTAAATAAACTTAATCTCCGTCTAACGCTATTGCAGTAATTTCACAGTCAGTTTGTGGCTGGTTGTATGCGTCGATATAATATTACTTAGGCGACTCAATGATCTCCTAAAACACTTATTATACGAGCGATTTGACCCACTTTATGAGAGAGTAAATACAACAATATTCATCGCTCGCTGTTGCATGAGTCGCATCTGAAATTCCTTAGGTATCTAAGTTTACTCAGAATAATATTAAAATTAAAGCTGTTAAGGGAAACAAAATGGTTACAACTAAGTACAAAGAAGGGTTCTAGATTTACTAAACAATCATCTGAGACTAATGATTGACGCGATGTTACCTTGACGATATCACGAATTGCCGGCGGCTTTTACACTACTGTTTCTATTGTACCTGCTGATATGCATGTCGAAGTGTTTATACATGTATTTTGAAATGAATATCAGTGTCATAGTTTGTCACATGTATATTCGTATAATATGCAGATATGTTGGTACTTATAAAGTCTAAAGTAACGGTTAGTCCCTTTCACACATGAGTCCAAGTCACACACCTATCTGACCCACTTTAACACGACTGTTGCAATTGATACATTTATCTCTCCTTTTTTTGACCGCTGACTACTGATTGAGCAATTTTATTCAATTGGTCAAGTTAGGAATAAGGCTCGGCACTAATGATAAAAATTATTATAGTTTTAGAATGCCTTACGTTATTCGATGCAGTAGTGGCGCGAATCGCTATGTTGAGTTTATTTTTACATTGTCTGGCATGTGACTACACCAAAACATATTGCAGATATGTTGTAGATATCTGGAAAATTACCTACTGAGTTTTAATGGAAAATTACAACAAATTCAGCGCGTTAAATAATGTTTTGTTTAGGACATAGGTATTTTGTAGCAGCAATATTTTTATCTAGATAACCCAGCCTGTTAATTACCTATGTGTTACACTTTGCTTTGTATCCGAACATTGCCTATGTATTTAATGTGCTTTAAACACAAAAGATAATGTTGTTACAACACACAGCAATAAATAAAGGCACGTCTAAACAGCCTTCAGAAACTGTTGACAGTTAACAATTTAGCGCTTAGGGCTAACTGCGAGTAATGGCACTTTATGGCACATAGAGTCCCACGTTTGCGAAACTTAGCCCAGTCAGTGCTCTACTTATACCACTGAGTCTGTGGCATTACGTCTGGCATTTTGAAATGTAACAGGTCATGTAGGGGAGACCGAGGTGAGTTGTAACAGAGGTTGTGACATTGTCGGTTTTTGGGAACCTATTTACTATCAGCGAGTTCGCGACAAAGTGTTTTTGTTAGCCCGAGACTTGAACTAAAAAACGCGCACTGTTACGAGCTCGTTAGTTGTGAATTAGTTCCAAAAAAAACGACAATGTTACAACTCTTCTCTGTTACAACTCACCCTGGTCTCCCCTAGGTACGGTGCCTGCATACTTAAGTATGATCTCTTTACTGTGGAGATAAACAGGGACATGAGTGTTTGTTTCCCTATTTGGGAACTGTAATGCGTTTTTTATGCACGGTGGTGTCACAGTAATTTAAGCTTACTCTTACATAAAGTATGCCGTTTATGAAGCGGTTGACAATAAAGTGTTATTTATTAGGTACGACACTAGGATACGTTATTACACAAGTACAAAATATTCAGCTAGCATTCGTAAAGATCGCAACGACAAAATCGTCTCATAAAAAAAATATTGAATAGGATCGTTTTCAATCTGGGTATCGTGTAATGCCCTTAAAATGTGAACGTCAGAATGGCGGGTGTATGGTCACAGAAATGAATAATATAAATATGAATTTTTAATACCTGAGGTGTACCTTTATGTACCTTTAGTTATTAATTTTGTACTTCCGTAATACNCCCGCCATTCTGACGTTCACCTTAAAATGTCGATCAACTTAAGAAAAAGTAACATAAAAGAAATCGTCTATTTTTGTCGTAGCTCGTACCGTTCTTTTACGTCTGCGATGCCAACCTCAATGTAGACTCCGTTAGGTCTGGCAACTAATAGTTTTTTATTACCCTACTGCGCCAGAATGAGGGTTATGTATTTCACCGTGCATATGTATTTCTATGCTCTATAGTCGAAACGGCTTTGGATTTTAGTTTGAAACCGTCGTTAGATTCGTCTCAAGTTTAAAATTTTTCAGTTTACGCGTTCAGGATTTCAATAATTAAAATTAAACTCCATCTAAAGCTTTTGCAGTAAATTCAAAGTCAGTTTGTGGCTGGTTACAGGCGCTGGCGTTGATATAATATTACCATAGGCGCAGACCACCGACTTTTAATTGGATCAATTTCCAATTTTTATGAAGAATCGGCCGATACCAAATCGGTGTAGTGTGCGCACTTCCATACAAGCCCATACTGATTAACTGCCCGACTAAACTATCGGCCGACAAAAAATCGGTGGTCTGCGCCTAAGCAAAAGCGACTCAATGATCTCCTAAAATACTTATTATGCGAGTGTGCCACCCACTTTATAGTGATTGTAATTAATGTGTTTCCTTCCAGAGCGCTAACTATAGCGCTGTGGTGCGCCGGCGCATCGGCGCTGACGCCGCTGTCGGCTGCGGGCGACGACAACGACTGCGCGCTCTACCTCACCGGGCCGGGCCGCACCTCGGCGTACGACTACAGCCTGAACCTGCTGAAGGGGAACTTGTGAGTAAAACTAAAAACTCATTTATTTAATTCAAGTAGATTCAAGCTTATAAAAAGCACTTTTACATTTTTGCTAGTACATTGATTCTTCTTCCTCGGTCCCTCACTGATGAGGAACGCGACCACAGATAGTGTTCTGATACAAACTCCCGCCCACCGTCTTCCTCACCGCGTCCGACCATCTCGTCGGTGCCCTGCCCCGAGCGCGTCTGCCTTCCATTTGTCCCAAGATAATTTGTTTCTCCAGACAATGCTTTGAAGACCGCATAATTTTCCAATGAAACAGAGGGAACGTTTTAGGCATATAGAGAGCCGCGTGGTGATGTAGAGCTCTTTTAATGTGGACTCGTACATTGATAGCATATTCATAATCTACATCGATCACCTCGGCTTATGACTACAGCCTGAACCTGCTGAAGGGGAACTTGTGAGTACCTACTTATACATCCATAGCTTATTCATAGTCTACATCGATCAGTCGCCATTCAGTGAGAAATCCTCGTACTTGCCACTTATACATACCACTTATACAATTCATATCATCACAAGGCGCAATGGTAAAGTTCTCGCTTTTGTAATGGCATCATAGGTACCCTACATACTTCTATGTTTGTCCATTGGAAAGGACACAAATCCGCATATTTTGACTGAGCAAGCAAACAATAGTTCTATCAACATGTGTAGTTAAAAATAATGAATAACATTGCATAGGTAATAATTTCGGTGCAGTTCCTTCCGCTCAATAGGTATTTTTAATTTCATTATTTATTTAGTTTACTACATAATTAATTATGATACAATAACTAGCTGAAGGTTAACCATTTACACTAACAATCTTTAATCAAACAACAAAAAAGCTAGATTTTATTAAATACAGTAGGAGTAACTCTATCACTCCTGCGTGATGAATTTCTGCCGGTAACGAGCGAAATCTGACCGCGGTCGTCCAGTGCAAGAGCCAATGTCAACTGGAAGTGTTGAAGCAAGTAAAATGCACGATATAGGTATTACATAAGCCTTCATAAGGTTAAATTCTTGTAAAGTCTGTTAGGGATATATTAAGTCCGCTACAGAGCAATAAACACAGTTGTTGGTAGTAACATAATAAATATATTGGTATCAAAGCACACGTAGAATAATTACAATAGAGAGTTCGGCACAGCCATTACACAGCTAAGACAACATCACATTTAAATGAAGCGATTCTATTGTTCTTTACAAACACATCCTTCGCTACGCATCCTCGCACATCTCTGGTGGAAACGCAGCCTTACGAGATCATGATAGAAAGCTAATCCGACAATGAATATGTATTTTCATAAGTTGAAATTTACTTTTGTTTTTAATCAGTCTGTGTATTATGTATTAGGTTTTGTGAAATAAATAGTCAATATAATTAATCATTTTATTTTCAACTAGCTTTTGCCCGCGGCTTCGTCCGCGTGAAATTTAGTTTGTCACAGATCATCATAATTATAGCCTATATGTTAATGGTTATAAACAATAATACTGTAAAGTTTCATCAAAATCCGTTCAGTAGTTTTTGCGTGAAAGAGTAACAAACATCCAGACATCCAAACTTTCGCATTTTTAATATTAAGTAGGATATTAGTAGGATATGTATTTACTTAATTATTATTACTGACGAGATTGCTACCATGTATATTTAGTGACCATGAAAGATTAAAACAATATAATGTATTTAATTAATTATAATATCTTAAGTTTTACAATAATAAGGTAGGTATACCTATCCATCCAGTTACCCTAGGTCTTTATTATGGATTTAATTTACAAGTAGTTATTTACAAGCACTCTGCTCTAAATCCTTTGGCTTCAGGGAAGAACCTGGACCGCCACCAGTCCAGTGTTCTCTTGGCAGCTCTGTGTATGCGAGTTGCCTTCTTCTTGCTGTTAACCCTTAAATGGTTTCTGTCCGTTATAAAGGACATGTCAAACAATTGCCTACAAAATCTAAATTAAAGCAATTTATCGACTTTCAAGGGATATTTTATAAAAAGCATGATATTTTATGTGAAACACGGGGCAGTAGTTCCATAAAAAACCGCGAATTTTAAAAATTAAGACAGTTGAATAACTGCAACAGCAAGGTCAAGTTTTCGCTGTTGATAAATATGGCAACACTGTGGGTATTACACTTGTTCTTGTGCTTTATTGACTGATTTTATATTATTAACGAATAAAACTGACGATTATTGCCAAAACTGTAAAAAAATATCGATTTTTTTTCATTCATTTCAAGGTTACAAATGTTATGTCACCTCAAACGGACAACGCCATGTATCAGTAATAAATACTCATGTTGATTTTTAGACATTTTTACCCCATTTCCCCCTTTTAGGGGTTGAATTCTGAAATAACCNGCGCGGTGGACGTATATTCATGCGGAAGAATGAAACATCGTCTTTCATTCATGTCAAGTGTCAAAATATGCTAGACTCTTTGAATTAATGTTTACCTTACTTTTTTTTTTACCTCATTTTATGATGGATAAACTGTCGGTATTTTATCAAAACATCAGAGGTACCAAATCTAAAACCACTGAAATAGCTAATTCAATATTAATAAACAATTATGATATAATATGTCTGTGTGAGACATGGCTCAATGAATCCGTGGATTCTTCCGAACTGTTTGATGAGAGGTATATTGTCTACCGTAAGGACCGCTCAGTTGAATTTATGAAAAAACATAATAAGGCACACGGCGGCGGCGTTCTTATTGCAGTTAAAAAGTGCCTGGTTTGCATGGACAATCTACTCACAGATACTTGTGTAGAGAATGTCTGGATAAGCCTGCATTTGANTATATTGGTATCAAAGCACACGTAGAATATTTACAATAGAGAGTTCGGCACAGCCATTACACAGCTAAAGACAACATCACATTTGAATATAAATGACAGTTCTATCATAGCGGTTCCAGCTAGTCAGCTCTACGTTATACAGCATGAAGGTGCTCATCAACAAAGACAAATCCTTCTTGTGGAGACTTTAAAGTAGTCAAACAAATACTGAATTAAAGTTAGAAATGATGTAGTTGGTTTATGAAATACAGTTACTATCAAACATTCCTCTATTTAATAGTGTTAATCAATTACTTGTAGAGATTATCCTCTGTGTGTTAAAATAATTAAAATTCATGCGCGGTAAAATTTGGCAACATTATAAGATGAAGTAGAGCGAAACCGACAAGTTTAATGAGTTAATTAATTAATAGGTACCTATTTAAATTTTAAACTGAGACCAACTTTGCGGTACTTTATACCTACTCAGTTAGGTAATTGTTAACAAGTATCGGTTTTAGATGCTGTGACATTTTATTAACTCCTTTTTACGACGATTGATTACAGTTCATCAACTTAAACGGTCATTTATCGTCTTCGAATTAACCCCATGTCTAGTTGCGTCACAACACAACACACCGGCGCGCGCGCAAACTTGACACACTTCCCCGGCACACATCGCACTCACCGACCTCGCTTCTTTCTCTGTCACTACATCTAAGCTTTGAAAGTAATGAATACAATAACAACAGAAATCATTAATTATGTACAGTGAATACCATTTTCCTGGCTACAAACAATGAATATTTACGTATGCAATGTATGGAATAACCTTAAAGCTCGTGCACGTTCTCAAAGCTTTTCAAAGTAATAAAAGACACTGATGCACCGTGGTGTGGCATTGAACAAAACATAATTTATTCGAGTGTATCTTTTACTATTTTATTGACGGTCGTAAGCTTTACAATGGTACCTCATAAATGATATGTTCTGTATCTTAAAACCAGATGTAATTTGAGGACAAACATCAATAACTTCTTATCTAGAAAGACTGTCTGACCGCTCTCACTCATTGTCATTCTGTTTCTCTCATTTGTTAGTTAATCATCCCAATACAATGACCATTTTTCAGACCATAATTATACTTTTTTTCCATCGGGTTATGTGGGACTCTCTCTCTCTCTCTCTTCTCTCATATCTAATTTCCCTTAGCCACAACATCGGCAAAGAAGGCATCATAAACTTTATATGTACTTTAATAAGATGCAATATTTGATTACAAGCATTCCATACCGCTAAACTAAATAAATGCATTGCTTAGTAAAACACTTAGCACTGTTTGACACCTAACCGAGGAAGCTCTGATGGTAGAGTACCGTAAACTAACATCTATACACAGAACGGTGAATATTGTATGTTTGTTTGACATAAGCATGTGATAATTTAGTGCTATGTTTAATGTTTAGTTATCACCATAATGCAAATGTGATAAATGGAAAACAGTAGGTGTTAAAAAGCTCAGATAATTAAAGCTTTCCAACTATGAAAAACAAAGGCTATAAATATGCCTTTATTTATAGAAGATTGAAGAATAGTTAGTTGTATTTTTAAAGGAGATATGTAATATAAAAATACATAGGTAATGATGCAAACAAATAAATCTAAATCAAGGATTCCAATTTCAGATACCTGCCATTTGGCATTACCGTGTAGTAATCAGCTAATATAGCGAAACCGATTGCGGAATGATAGACTAAAAATACTTTCAATGTTAATTATGTTTGCCATATCTACTGTTATTCTGACTCACTCAACTAACTTAGAAACTTATCTGCCCACATCTCCGTGGCAGGTCCATTCAAAGAGCTCCAAAGTCCAAACTTCAGTTGACCTATCGTCAGTGAATTTTAACAGTGCGTAAGTCATTTTTTGACGGTTTTAACATTTTGATGCCATTGCATGAAGAAAGAAGCGTGCTTTCTCTCTCTCTCTCCTGTAAAAATCTGATAAAAACCTGTTAAAATCTCCTGTAAAACGCACATTTTTGACTGTTAGAACTTCAGCTGACCTATGCTATAATCAACATTGCTTTCGTCGTAGAGTCACTTTAGCTGACCGATCGAGTTGCGCTCACTTTCAAATCCTTTCGCTAGACATAGACACCCTTTCATTTAGCGATAAACTTGTTTGCTAA